AAGGATAACATTGCCCTCACTCAGGTCACAGAGCTTCTCTTGTACAGTCTGCAGTGAGCTGCAAGCACTACACAACAAAACTGCAGCCCTCCCCATCTCAGTACCAAAACTGTAATTCTAAAACTCTGGGCTCAGCAACTGATACCCAAAAGTAGCTGCAGACCTACGAATACCCTTTAGGTACTTAACTATTAACACAAGCAAATTAATGCACCCATTAAAGCAATCAGCCCCCTGCTGACAGGGAGCAGCTGTGCTCTGCTCCAGACATTTGTCAGGATTGCAGCACTGGAGAACTGGGCAATACAACAGCACAAACAAACTCCACCTGCTCTCGGAGAGATGCATCCCTGTAAGCCACGTCCGATAACAATGTCACTAAGCAGAAGCTGAAGTTTTCTGCCACTGGAAGTAAACCTGCAAAGTAACAGTGAGAAAATCAACCACTTAAACCTTGTTAGAGAGAACCAACGTAGAAAGAGCAATATATAATAAAGCACGAAGACATAAGTGACTCCTGTGTCAAAAAGTTCTGAGACAGGCTGTAGACAAAAACAGTATTACATACAAAATTTAGAAGCACTCTAACCATCATAATTTCAGCATAAATGTTTAAAGAAAAATCAGAATAATTAAAAACTTTCCCAGGCTTTCAACTAACTAGAAATAAACCTTAATTGTATAATACTATATAAAAGTATTCTTATCTTAATTTTAAGAGGCATTAAGGAAGCAAAAAATGAAGTGGTTTAAATGGCAACTAAGTATCAAAGCTGAAAGCAGAGCACACAAATCTCATGTTCCACTCTCCTACTCTAACTACCACACAATCTTCTCCAGTTTAGTAACAAAATATACTGAACACAGAACTATTTGGGAAGTACAATTCACCAAAATGCAGCCAAGCAGGAAAACAGAGATCTATTCAACTTCCTTTGGCTTCTAATGAAAATCAATATTAAAGGCTGTCAAGACAGGAGCTGACTGAGATTGTAGGAGGACTTCTCCCCTCCCCTTGAACCATGTCCTGAACCACCTTTGCTATTCTATTTCCTGGCTGGCATTTCATGACAAAGATCAAAAAATCCAAACATCACCTCTGCCTTTCCGTGCATTGCTTTCTTCTATCCACTGGACTTTGGGGAGACCTTTCAGGAGCCGAAGAAGGTAAGGAACCACATTATCCTTGTGCTAAAGAAAGAAATATTCTATTTAAAATGGAGAAGGAAAGCTGAACCATGTAATCTCAAGATATTTTAGAGATATGGTAAAATTACATTAGCACACACAGAACTTGATTCTAATGATTACTCCACAAGCTTCTTGACTATTGCAAAACTGATTTCAAAACAAGAAAATGAAAGTAACTCAATTCAGTGCCTTAAATCCAAGCCTTTCACTCTAGGCTACAGTTCATTCTCTGTAAAAGCTGGAGAAAAAGATTCCAGAACAGTACCTAACCCCAAACATTTCATTAATTGACAGCAAGCTCCCAAAATAATTTTAAGACAGCTAAAAATCCAGAGTGCCAGTGCCAATTCAGTACATCTGATGCATCCCTTGGCCTTATGCAAGTCACTTAACGCATCCATGTAACACTTCAGCTCCCCCACCTGCAAATCAATGCAGCTGCAGCACAGCTGCCTTATAAAAAAAGGCCAAACAAATACAAAAAAAAAAAAGAACAAGGTCAGTAATATCCATGCAAGCTGTACCATAGCACATGGATACTAACCAGGAGGCAATTCAGGCCTGATGCAAACCTTAGCAATACGAAAGAATTTAAAGTGAGGTCTAACAGCACTGGACCTGGGACTCTGTCCATGCTTCCCTTCCTCTACACAGAACAATACCAGGCCCAGCAGTCAAAGGGAAGAGAACCAGCTTGTGCTAGCCCTGCTGGCAGACACAGAAGGGATGCTTGTGTACAATGCAGCCTGTGTGCCCTGTCTGTCTGTCTGTTTATCCTGGCATGAAAGGGCCCATTGCAAACCTGGCCTTCAGGAGTGCATTGGAGCATCCCTGTCAGTCAGGAGCATGTGGGAAAGAACATGCACTGACATATCTGGTTTGAGTAAATCCTCTTGAATACTCTTTCCTTTCTCTGCTTAAGCCATGATGACCAGAAAACAGTGCAGCAGTTTGGCTGTGGCAGTGCCATGACTACTGGCTATCACACTTATCTGTATTTCCTTGCTCTCCTGACTGCATCTACCCCTTATCTCTGATCTTTTAATCTACTTTTATGAAGAGCAAATAGCAGCTTTTCATTCATTGAACAACCAAACTTGAAGTAATCCAAGATCTTTGATTAAACAGGTAGCCTAAGTGGGAAAAATACCTGAAGGTCAGATTCAACTAGGAAGATTCCTAAAGCAATAACAGCATCCCTACGACGTTCATCCAACTGGAAAATCCCATGAAAATCCACCGGACACATACAGAGCAGCTTTTGTACCTGAAAAACAGCAGAGGAAAAGAACAGTGGAACAAGACTGGAAACCAAATTGAAGCTTGTTTGAAGTGCACACTTGTGTCTCCATCTTCTGGAATACATTTGGCCACATTACCTCCTCCAGTATCAATCTCACTGAGATCATCCAACGGTGAGGAAAGAGTGATGAATGACAGAACCCAGAAAAAGACAGAAAAATCACAAGTAGATGTCAAACATTTTTTCCTACAACATGGATTGATTTAAAGGTTTTCTTCAATGCTCCATCAAAGTATGATGAAGTATGTTAAAGCTGAAGTATGACAAAGCCTTTGCTTCACTATTTCACTTTTAGATGTGGAGGAAATTTGCAGCCTGCACTTTTATTATATTTACTCAACTCTTGTAAACAAAAAATAGGTGGATAGAGCTTCAGTTACAGCTGCACCATACATACACAGCATTAAACAATTAACTGTAACCAACCTGTGTATGACTCTTGCTCAAATCCTTTCAACATAACAGATTAACTTTTCAGAACTATTACTTTCTCACTATTACCTATTACTTTTCCCCATACTAAACAAACACACATTTGAAGAATACATCAAACCTCCCAAATACTTTGTTTTTCTATGGAATTGTTAATAAACATGCAATAAGCATGTTGTCATTTTATGAATTTGATGTTAACAAATACTATCTAAAAATGGCCTTCATAATAAACAACTGTTTAACCTAACAACGTTTGAATGTCAAGTCATTTCCTATTTAGATAACTCTCTGAACATCCCACCTTGAAATTTCTAAAGCAAGAAGCAGTCTCCTTAGAGGACTAGAGGAACCGACTGGATGCTCAGTGGAATTCAAGATTCTGGTCCTTCAACTGCCAGACATCCTAATTACAAGACTTGTACAACAGATAATCCTCTTGCTTAACATAAAATACAGCAGAGGAAATATGAACTTTGGAAAATGACTGCTGATACATGTGTTCCACGTCAGGTTATGCTTGTAATAACATGAGTGAGCAACAGCTAGATATGAGCTGTTACTATCATTGAACTGCTGCATTCTATCAAACTAGGAAAAAAACTAAAATCCCTGAATATCTGTGAACCAACAGCAGGGCAGAGAAAAATTCACTGTTTCACACCATTCGTACATTTCCAGAACAAGAAATAATAAAACAAGGCTGCAACACCTAGCCCAGAACAAGCAGTATAGTTTTCATCAGCACAGAGCAGTGCTTTTTTTTCAGCTGTTTAGTCACGATTACCGCCTGGTGCAATTTGGACACGCTGTCACTTGGTGCCCAGCCCCAGCACACCAGGCTGTCCGTGGCTGCTGCGGGCAGCAGCACAAGCGCCGGGAGCGGGGCAGCCCCTCGGGGCACAGCCCGCACACGGTCCCGGCGGTTCTCCCTTCAGCACAGCTTCATCGCGCCCGCATTTCACCCGGCATCGATGGCGTCGCCCGGATTTAACCAGATACGTGGAGGCAAGCAGCCCTAATTAGGTTGAGACCAATTACTCCCACAAGACCATATTGTACAGACTTGGGGGACACGCAACAAGACGCAGATCCTTGCCCGAATTTTTGGGTCAAGCTGGCGCACACGAGCATCCCTGAGGCCCAGCTGCCCCGAACGCAGCGACGGACGAAGCTGGGGTGACAGAATCCCCTCAGAGCCCACAGACAGCCCCGTCCGAACACAGCCGCGGCCCGCGGGGCATCTCCCGGCCCACGGCCGCGCTCGCTGCTCCTAACCCGCTTCCCACGCGTGACAGTGCCAGAAGGGCGGCCGGACACCCGTCACACGGCACAAACAGGGCACAGGAGGGGCCACGAACGGCGCCGACCGGGCTGCTCGCGAGTCCTGTGCACACAGGGGCCATCCCTCCTGCGGCACGGCCCCCCCGCCACACGCGGCTTCCACGCGTGACAACCCCGCAGCCTGCACACACTCAGCCCCCACGCGTGACGGCCGCTCCTCACGAACGCCCCTCACCTTCTCCAGAGGCGCCGGGTTCTGCACCGCCAGCGACCGCGCCAGCGACAGCACCGTGTTAAAGTAGAAGCCGCGCGCGGTGGCCGCGCTGCTCCCGCGCCCCGTAGGGCCCGCAGAGGGAGCCGCGGCGGTCCCGGCCGTGGCGGCCGCCGTCCCGGCCGCCGCCGCCGTGGCCGCCGTGGCCGCAGCCGCCGCTGCCGCCGCCACCGCCGCGGCCGCCATGTTGTGCGGAACGGCGCCGGCCAGCCCGCCCCGTCCCCGCCCGCGAGATCAGCGCCTCCCGCGCACCAATCACGCGACAAAGATGGCAGCGCCCAGTGTGGCTTCATTTCCGCCCGGAGGCCTACCCTCTCTCTGTGCGCACCTCCCTGCGCAGCCATCTCTCCACATATTCCCCCCTCTCCGTAGCAGTGGTTCCACCCAGCAGCCGCCCGTCCACCAGCGGCGCTGCGGCTCGCTCACTCCGCCCCGCAGGGGGGAAGGTGGTTGGTGGCTGCGCCCTGCGCTTCCGCCCGGCGCTCGGTGCCGTGGGCGGAAGCAGCGGAGCGGCCGCGGCCTGAGGCGGCGGCTTGGGGGGATTCTGTGAGGGGTGAGGGCTCCTCGCGGTCGGCCGTGCCATGTCGGCGCTCCCGAGGAGCTACAACCCGTTCGCGGAGGACGAGGAAGAGGATGTGGCGCCGGCGGGTCCCGGCGGGATGGGCGGCGCGGACCGGCAGCGGTACCTGGAGCAGGAGGTGCTGCGCCGCTCCGCCGCCACCGCCGACAGCACCACCCGCTCCCTGTCGCTTCTCTACGAGTCCGAGCGCATCGGCGTGGCCGCCTCCGAGGTGGGTTGGGGCCGCGAACGGAGCCTTGGCTCCCGGGCCGCTGGGGAGGAGCGGCCGTGGGACCCGAGCGCTTCCCCTTCGCTCACACCTCCGGGAGGGGAGTCTTGTTCTCCACAGTCTCCCGACAAGTCCCTCTTTACTCAGTGTTTTCCAGACAGCCTGTCCCTAGGTTTTCTGGGTGGTAGCGTTTGCGTTTTGAGGGAAAAATCCCAGTTGCAGCCAGTGTGTCTGAATAGTGCTGAGGCTGGGACTTGGCCGTGTTTTCAGCTGCTTTCAACAGTTCTTACTAATTTTTAGCTGACTAAAAGGTTTTTAGCAGTCGTCTTGGTTAGATGAAGGGCCTTCCCTGTTAGTTGTTTGTGATGCGCTTCGGTTCACCCTGATTAATCATTTCCTTAATTCCGCAGGCTCTGTTTCAGCACTTTGTGCTCAGGCTCATAAAGGTCTTGCTGTGTCACCTGCTGTAATGGGATATTCCCTGGGTTATGTGGTTGCCTAAATTAACCCCAGAGCATCCTGAAGCTGCTGCCAGTCCTTATGCTCAGAGGGTTCTTGGTGGGACTTCAGTGAACTTTCAGACTCGTGATTTGTTTGTCCAGGAAATCACAAATGAGGAATCAAGAATTCAGGCTTGACACAGGGCCTGTAGTAAAACTTGAAGTCTTTGTATTTGTCCTTTATTGAGAGGGAGAAAAAAGAACATGACTAAGATTTTCCTATAGTTTAGCAAGAATATGAACACAAGTTCTTTGTTTTGCACTGGTGGTAGCTGCAGGCAACTTTCCTGCCAGGATTAATCTTTGGATTACTTTGGAATAGTGCTTGTGCTGCTGAAATAGAAAATAATGTACAAAAATTCCTAAATCCTGCTCTGCTAAAATTAACTAAAACATTCCTGAAGTCTGAATAAATTATATTTGTGTTTATTTCCTTTGGTTATTCTATTTCTAAATTATCAGAAACATCCCAGTAAGGTGAAAAAAGAATTCCTTCCCAATGAAGTTGCCATTCATAACTGGTTGTCGTGCTTGCTCGTTCCCCTGCCATAAACCTGTGCATTTCCACCACATCACCCATCTGGTGGTCAGCCATAGATGCAGGTGTCAGCTTGACAAGAGGCTAGTACAGAAAATGCCTGGATGTTGTTTGTGGCTGGTGCCAGGAACCCAGCAGGTCACAGGGATGAGGATTTTACAGCTGGTTAATGCAGTGGCTAACAAGCAACTATCGATTGAAATGCCCTGGAGGAAGGGGAGCGAGGGAAAAACTGTTTGCCCTCAGACATAATCTGCACAGATGAAGGAATGCTGTTATTTTTCTTTAGCGTGTCACCTTCAGTGTGAATCATTTGATGTCTCAGTTTATCCTGAGACACCATTATTTATCATAATTTATCATATCATTATCATTTCTCATTTGTTTTTTTCTGTCAATGCCCGTTAGGAGCTCGTCCGGCAGGGAGAGGCTCTGAAGCGCACGGAGCAGATGGTGGATAAAATGGACCAGGACTTGAAAACGAGTCAAAGGCACATAAACAGCATCAAGAGTGTTTGGGGGGGCTTGGTAAACTACTTCAAAGCCAAACCTCCAGAGAGCAAGCCAGAGCAGAATGGAGCCCCTGAATATTATGCTAACAGCAGGTAAGTAACATAAACTTTTTATTTGGGACTTGTCTCCCACAGCATCTCTGAAATGTCACCAGAAAATCAGGAATTAAAACATCTGTTGATTCTTTCAAACTCTTGTAAACTCCTGAGATGGTCTAGCTACCTTTTCTTCTTTAATGCTGAGGTCAATAGCAATGCTTTTTTTTTTTTTTTAACTAGGTTAAAAGAAGCAATGATGTCTAGTAAGGAACAAGAGTCAAAATACCAGGAAAGCCATCCAAATTTAAGGAAGCTAGATAATTCAGGTTTGTTAACTTTGTTACACTGAATGTCTTTTCATCCCTGTGGGGCAACCTTGCAGAATGATGAAGGCAGAGACCCTTCAATCTGCCCAGCTGCTGACTTACCTTGCTGTCTAACGTCTAGAGATTTGTATCCCAGCCTTCATGCTTTGAATTCTAGGAGTTTTCATTTAACTTTCCATTTCCCATTTAACTCTTTATATCCGTCATTAAGATGTTATACCTGCTAAAGACTAAAAGTAAAAGCTTACATTTGCATAGAGAATGCACACAGTGTGCAGACAGTTTTGCCAAAATGTTACACGTTCAGAGTTTCTCCTTTTAACCATTGTTTGTCATAGTTTTCAGATCATGTATCTGGTTATTTCAAACCTAGATTCTAACCCTTCACATTGAAGTAATTTCTTGGTTCTCAGAAGGTGTTGTATGGAGTTTGGCCTCATTCCTCCTTCTCTCAATCTGTTAACTTCTGTGAGAGCACTTTCGTACTAAATAACTATTTCTTTATAACGTGAGCCTCGGTTATTGACCCTAATAAGAGCGGGAAAGCAGCAGGCTATCGATGATGTGTGAGTAACCAATGCAGGCTCTTGGGGACTCGTGTCCCTGCCGCTCCGTGCAGTGCCGGGCTCTGTCCAGCAGAGGGCACCGCGGTCCGGCGGGCTCAGCTACGGCCGCTCCCCGCGGGTCCCCGCCCTTGTCCCACCGGGGTGCGCGCTGCGGGCTCGCTCTGCTTTGCTCTCCCAGCTCCCCGCCAGAGCTGCAAGTGACAGCCCGAAAGACAATAATTGTAGCTTAAGTGTTCATCTTGAGAACTGGCCTACGGACAATGGTCTCTGACTTCTGATGCTCTGGTTATGTGATTAGCTGGCAGCTGTGTTAAAAATTAATTTTTAACAGCCTTGCAAAAACGTCAAAACTTCTTCTTACAAGCTTTTTCATTATAGAATATTCTGTACTCTATATTCTTAACAGACAACGATTTCAACAAAGCAGATTTAGTTTCTTCAGTGCAAAGGGATGCCTACCCAAAGAACCAACAACTGCGAGCTTACCACCAGAAAATTGATACCAACTTAGGTGAGTGAGGAAACTAAAGCTGTTTCATGTGATACAATTGGGAATTTTTGAGTCCTAAACCAGATAAAACTATTCAATGATATATTGCCAACACTTTTTTGTTTAGCTAACATGCAAAATTTGATGATAATTAAAAAAATAATTTGTTTCTATTGGCACTTCAAAACTATCTACATGGTACATCAGTTTGGAGCCAAATAATTTAAAGCAATGCACAGCTTTTGAAATAAATGTTTTGCTAAAAATTGCTAAGAATTGAAATGCACTAAATATTTAATTTGTGGATTTACTGCATTTCTTTTATTACTTCTCAAAACCATTCATCTGAGTTTGCCTTCCTTTGTTCTGTAGCATGTAGAGAAAGTGCCTGTTTGCTTACACATGTCACTGTGTAGCTCACCTAGAAAGAAGAGATTGAAAAAAATCAGAAAGGAACAAATCAAAGAGAAATAGTCATAAGAGCTAGTGAAAGCCCATTTTTTTCTGTCACAAGCTGTGGAAAAATTCATAACCTCAAGAAGTATTTATACTAATCAATAATGCAATGAAATTGTCACCTTTTGGTCAATTAGAAAATCTAGAAATGTGAGTTTTAAATCTATGATAAATAACTGCTTAAATCTTCAGTTCGCTGATATCATCTCTTCTTGAAGTTTAAAGAAAAAAAACAATTGTGGTAGTGAGCATACTGTGTATGCTGAGTAGAGAAAATATGTACCAAAATTTCAATGAGATGCATTTTAAAAAAAAGGTAAAAACTACATTACAGGCCATGTCATTTGATAAAGATCCACTTTGGTGTTAAGCATTTGCCTGGCACCAAATGTGAAAATGTAAAAAAGCAGGAAGTGACCATTTCTGGTAGTAACAGTACAACTATGAACATAACAGTGCTTCCTCTATTTCAGAGGAGCACTCAGACTTGAGGAATTGCATCTAACGTTTTCTAACCCAGGGTTTTGGAGAAGAAGGAATGCTGATAGTGTCCATTTAGATAATGTGTTCCAGCACTTTGATTCCTTGTGGTCCCTCTCTACCCTGACAGATGAGATGTCTTCTGGGCTGAGTCGCCTGAAAAGCCTTGCTCTTGGCCTGCAGACTGAAATAGAAGAGCAGGATGATATGCTGGATCGGCTCACAAAGAAAGTAGAGACACTGGATGTCAACATTAAAAACACTGATAGGAAAGTCCGACAACTTTAAAGGATTTTTAGAATTTCTTTTGTCTTGAATGCCTCATCTCAACTGATCTCTTAAAAAAAGTCTTGGGCAGTATCTGTTTCTCTTTTTTTCTGCTGTGTTACTGGTTTTGTTGTCAGTAAAATGACGTAGCCTTAAGTCAGCACAATACATTTCCTCTTAGTCTACATGGGAGAAGTGCATGTGCAGTAAAATCTCTCAGCATTGGGTCAGGATGCCTCACTCAATTGTGTAAGTGCTCATGTGCACGGAGGAATTCGCACTCCACAAAGCTGCAGTGTCCTTGGCCTGGGAGCTGTGATGAGAAAAGGAACTGCATTTTTGCCTGTTTTGGGGAGGGGGCAGGGGGAACAGAATGTGCTGCTTTGTTCAGAACAAATGTTAATTCTGTTTACCTACAGATATGTTAAATTCAGAAAAAATGCTGATTTCTAGCTGTAAAAATATTTTTAATTGACTGTTCTCCAGCATTTCTGGAGCTTAAGGAGTGAACTGTTCTGTGGAAGATGTAAAATATCAAAGGTGTCATGCAGTAATGGTAATATCCTTTCTGTGTTCCCTTTTCTAAGATGACTTTGCCCAAATGGTGCATCCACAAATTGTGGCTTTTATGTTTGGGTAACTAAATACTCTTGCCTTTACAGTCTTGTCAGTAAAGATCTCTGAGGGTATCTTATGGTATGCAAGAAATGTTCATTGACACTGACCCAAAAAGTTTGGGTAGCAAAATCAGGACTTAAATGTATATGCTCTTAAAGATTCTTTTGCAGAAATGGTCATCATCTGTTTTTAATTTTCTGCTCTTTCTCAGCTTATTCATTTAGGTGGTTATTTGAAAAAACAGCTTCCATTTTTAGAAATGGAGAGTTGATCTGATAGTGCCCAAACAGATTGTAGAAGATTGTTTTTTAGCATTTATTTCAGATGTGATTACAATTGGAGTAGATGTTATGCTTTGCTAAGTAATGTGGCTGTTAAGAAACTCCACTATGGTTCACATGGATCTGTGTTGGCTTAGCAGGTATGAATAATTCCTGCAAATTAAGAAATGCCCAAAACTATTTTTGAGTCTTCCAGATAGAATTTGGGCCTTTCACTTTGTTTTGGTTTTTTTGTAAGGGTCACTTTAGAAACAAAATAAGTACGATTCTGCTCCAGCCTGAAGACATGACAGTGAGAACTTGCTGTCTGTCTTGAAAACAAGCAAAGTACTCCTGTTTGGAGAGGCCAAGGGACCTGTGTCAGTATTGGAACATCACAAGTGACACTGTGGGGCTAGGAAGAGATTGTTACTTCTTTTGAACTAATGCCACATTGCCTTATGAATTAAAGAAAGACTTTGGTGTTCTGGGCTATTGAGCTTGTCCCCTTCACAGATGTCACATTCACACCCCCCTCGTTCCTTTTTCAAGAGATTTGTTACCTTGAGCTCACTTGCCACAAGGTGCATCCAATTGTTAAGGAGATAAGAGAAACTGAGCCTTTCTTGTTTTACTGTGTCTCCAGAAAGTTCACTTGTAGAAAAATAAATCACTAAAAAAGCTACACTTACTGGACATAGTATTATGGAAAAAATACTATTTCTGGCATACTGGCAGGGTTGAGTTGAGAATTAGATGTAAGGTGAGCCTCAGTTTCCTTTGTTACTGATGGTATTGATTTCAGTCCCCCACCAAAAAAATCTCTTTTGGAGGGACATAAAACTTCAAGAGCAATTGAGTACCTTTAATTGCTTGTTAATTTTTCAGTTTGTATCATTTATGCACATTAAGAATTATAAATAGCCTATTAATATATAATTTTACTTATACTTTACTTTATTTGGGTTTATACCATGATTAATTATCTTACTCTGTTAGAGTATTTAGTAATTATATGATTTGATGTCTCAAGACATTTGATACATTTATTTAGTAAATTATACAGTTGTAAGTATTCATATATGAAGTACCTCAGTGAAGGGAGATCAAAAATTTTGATTATACCTGGTTAGTTTATTTGTTTTAATAACACTCCTTTTAGTGTGAAATCTGCCTTCATCTGTAAGCACCTGTGTCACAACTCAGTGTTTGCTAAAGTAAGACTGATAACAAGGATGGACACTGAGACTTTCTTGACTAAGTTATGGCAAATGGAAGAAAAATGTCACTGGAAGATCTGGTTGTGTTATGTGTTGTAAGAAATCTGGGGCTTGAATCCAAGCAAAAATCTTTGATTTAAAGGTGAAGTGTGCTGCCTTTCTGTTGTAAGCTATTCCATGTTTAGTTTAAATCATTTCAACAAAATGAACTCAAGTTTTTGAGCAAATGTTTAGTTGTATTGGCCTTTGAGAACACCCTGATGCAAGCAGAGTAGAAACCCAGGACCTCAGCCGTGTGGAATCTTTGCAGAGGTCTAACTCCTCGTGTCTTCTAACAACCCCATTCACTGCCTCACTCATGTATTCCTGCCTTGCCTTAGGTTTTCTTGCTTTATTTATTATTTTTGTTTGGTTTTAATGGCCTTGTTTTAAAGGATCATTTCCCACACTGGGTTTCTTTTGCAGAGGGAAAAAGATGGTGCATGGATATAAAAGAATTTCTGCTATAAACTGAATTGCTTTTCTCTGCTTTCATATTGATTTTTGCTGATAACAAACTTAAGTCTAACTGACATGAGGAGACACCACTATTTTATAATAGTGATGATGTTTTTTTATCTCTTGGAATAACTTTCCATCCTACAGGAAAAGGAAATTTAAAGGAAAATAACCACATAATTTTTGCTTTTCCAGGAAATGCCATTTTGCATGTAGAACAAAGGATTTACTTCAGTCGATTTTCTTACTATTTCCTGAGATGGAGTTTTATTTCTTCTTGGCTACTGTTGAAAAACTTAGACTGTGTAGAGTCCAGGACTTTCAGGAGAAGTTTAATTTGCACTCACGTGCTAATTTTTGATAAAATTAATGATTTTGCCTGCATATTCATGTTGGCCTATAAGCTGGTGTTCTTGCAGCAAAATAGCTCTGGTTAATTTTTTTGGCTTGAGTAGAAGTTTAATAAGGTCAGAAGAAGATAGCAAAAGAAAATTAAATACTCTTTATAAAAGGCAATTTGCCAGTTTCTCAAAATGATTGCTAATCAATTTTGAAGAGATCCTAAATACTGGGAAATAACATATACCCTTCTTAACACAGACATCAAATTCTAAAAGCAGCAAGGGAAAAGAATGGGAATAACTAGTACAACGTGTATTTGATTTTTAAATTTCCTGAGCATTGAATTAAATCTTGTAACAAATAATATGTAGCTGAATTTTAGTCTGTACTACACAGATTTTTTTTTATTTTTTTTTCCTGTGCTGAGCTGTATTTGCCCTACTGAAATCGTTGGGACATGATGTCAGGGGTTCTTTTAGTGTGTGAAATTCACCTGAAATATTTTGCTGCTTAGTAGTTTTTGTGGAGTGATGTCATTTGTTAAATGGTGAAATAGAAAATACTTTCCAACCAGTCTGCCTTCTGAACAAACATTTTTCTAGGCATTTTTACAAGCATAACATCATATGGAGGATTACATAGGACTTAATTTTCAAATCACAGGTAGTGATTGTGTCAATGATTTGTGTCTATGGCTTTTTTAAACAGAACTTTAATTCTGTGCCACCCAGGTATAACACTTTTTGTACAAGTTAAATTGTGTTATCTTTTATTTAAATGCTAAACTGGACTGTAGCTCACCAGTTTAAGAGATTGAATGGAATGAATGTTGAATGGTAAAGTCAATAAAAGGTGCTTATTGTTAATGAAGAGTTGTCGCATTTATTTCCCAAATTTTTTTTAATTACAACTTCATTGATACTTTTCCCCTGTAATATCTGTTAAAATCCCTACTCTATTAAGTTTGTACCAGCATGGACATAAGTTTGCATCTGGTGGGTTTTGTTTTCTGAGAATAAAAGAGTATGACATTTTTATGTTATTCTTGAGTAGATTCTCTTAGATCCTGGGAGAGGAATGCAAACAAGCATTTATTTTTGTAAAAGAATTTATTTGTGATGATAAAATAATTCCAGATGTTGCTTAAAAAGTAACCTTGCCATAGTGTTTGGTATTATCAGGAATATCAATAACTGGATGTGTGCATGAACAGGGGAAGGTGAAACAGGAGTAAGGCAAAAAAAGATACAAACCTTTTTGAAACCCTTCTGGTATTTGTGTGGTCCCAAATTTGGTGATGGTAGAAAACTTGTGAATATCTTGACCTTCTTACTTGTAGGTGAAGGGAGAAACTTGGCTTCTGAATTTTTTTTGCAGTAGAGTTTAATTTTGTTTTATACTGTAAAGCAGAGATTCAGAAGTGCTATTTATTACAAAAGCTCTGAAAAAGGGAAAGTTAATAGAGAGACTGACCGATTTTTTATTTTATTTTTTTAATTCAGATAACTTTGGTTTTCCACCTTTTTGCTAAGAGTTCTTCAACAAATGGGAATTGAGAGCACTTCCATCTCTTCACTCAGTTGTTACATATAGAAAAATCAAAATAGTACAAAGAGCACAGTAGGAGATAACATAGAATGGAGCAGTGCAGTGGATTTTGGATCTCTGCTAGGAATATTAATAGTTTGCTTGCTCTGTTGCCATGAGAATCAGTTCCAGAGTCTTAAGGGTATTTCTCACATAGCTGTTTGTTTATGGCTAGTCAGGCATTTCAACCCTTTGTGTTCTCCCAAGGACTTCCTTGCTTACAGTGCAGTCCCTGCCCTCTGGGGAATGAGTGAGGAAGGGGAGCTAAAGGATGCTCATCCAAGCACATAACAGCAGGCAGAGCAGGGGCTGCTGGAATGAAGGACCCCAGAGTTCTGCCTGCCCCTCTCCCTACTTCTGAAAAGAGGTTTGGCTTTAAGAGGGGAATTCTAAAATCTTTGTTTCTTTTTGGTAGGTTGGTTGGTTTGTTTGCTTCCAAATAAATGGATTACAAATTCCCAAACTGGGAAAATATGAAGCACAACCCCACTGGGGCTAGAACTGAAGGATTGGTGGCGTTTAGTTGAAGACAAGCAGGGAGGTGCCTCCAGAATAAACAGGCTGCCACATCCGGAAGATCCCTGACTGCCAGGCACGGTTTACTAAGTACAGTGACTGTGCAGCCCTGCCTCCACTACTAATA